CTTATTGGCTATGTTTAGGCAACAGGACCCTGGTCAAAAATGACTGGCCTACAAAAAAAAATGTGCTAATACATTTCTTGTTGTGCTATATTATTGCCAAATATGGGATTCAATCTCTTTGGCAACTTGTTTTCTTTCAGTTAGCACAAGTTTTGTATTGTCTATGACCAATCAGTTCCCAAAGGAAACTGAAAAGAACTGAAAGAAGTTGAAAAGATTTTAAAAGTTTTAAAAAAGTTTGAATCCAAGATTTGTTAATAATATAGCATAATGAAAGATTCACAAGCAATTATTTTGTATGCCAGTCATTTTTTGACCAGGAACACCAAATTAGGATTTTCAGCACAGAATACGGTCTAAACTAGCTGAATTCAATCTGTTTTCTCCATTTGAAAATGGAAATGATTGTTTAATGTACAATAGTAGCAATAGTATCCACTCTGTGGTCTACAGAGAATAGCTTGTAGGATTAAAACACATCAATTTCTCTTGTCCTATTTTTACGATCCATTTCTAACCACATTTTAAACCGTTTTAAGGGGTGACACTGGAACACATCACTGGGAGCACTTTAAGTGACTATGATGTACTTATTGAGGACGACTGAAAGTCTTATTTTGTGCAGAACTTCAGGCTGTTCTTTCATCTGTCTCTTTTTAAATCCATTTTCTGTTGATTACTCAGTGTCTGTAGGGTGGGCTTGTGAAGAGTTCATCCGGCTTCCCACAAGCATCTCTCACTGTTGCAAGGGCACAGTGGGTTGGGGCTTGGCAACAGTATCCACGGCAACAGCTGCTGCAGCAGGCCGGTTAACACTTTACCGACAGGTAACGTCACTGACCTTCTGTTTCATCTCTCTGTCATTTTGAGGGACATTTGTAATGATCAAATTGATTGGTTCAGTGAGCCTGATGTGGGCATGACTGAAGAACTGGTAAAGTCAGCTCTTATTTAATGACTGATGTCTAGATTGTGTCTTATATAAATAGTTACTCTTTTTTTATATAGGTGGTAATTAGATTAGGTGGCATCAGCTGGATTGTTATCAGCAGCCTTTTTCCTTAAAGGGATAGTTCACCCAAAAATGAAAATTCTGTCATTAATTGCTCACCCTCATGTCGTTTCAAACCCGTAAGACCTTCGTTCATCTTCGGAACACAAATGAAGATATTTTTGATGGACTTGGGAACATTTCAGTTGTATTGCTGTCTATGCAGGGTCAGACAGCTCTCAGATTCCATAAAAAATATCTTAATTTGTGTTCCGAAGATGAACGAAGGTCTTACGGGTTTGAAACGACATGAGAGTGAGTAATTAATGACAGAATTTTCATTTTTGGGTGAACTAACCCTTTAAGAACTTCAAGAACGGATTGCGATGTGCAAAATGTAATAATAAAATCTCTTTTGTTTGAGAAAATTGTTCTGACCATGTGCAAGATGACCGCTCTCTGATAGGAGAAGGTCATGATGAGGACACCACTGAGATTTTCCCTCTGTTGCCTCATCCAGTCATTGTCCTTCCACCAGGAGAAAAACATGAATAATTCAGCAGCCTCTGTGTGCATATGCATGCTTGATTATGTTAAAGGGATAGTTCATTCAAAAAATGAAAATACTGTCGTTCCACACCTGTACAATGTTCTTTGTTCTATAGAACATAAAGGAAGATATTTTGAAGAATGTTGGTATCCAAACAGTTTTGGTGACCATTGACTTCCATTGTATTTTTTGTCCACACAATAAAAGTCAATAGGAACCAAAACTTTATGTCATTCCAAACCTACATGTTATTTTCTGTGGAACCCAACTTATTTTTTTTAAGAATCTCAACTTGTTTCTCACACAGTGATGGTTTATCATAAACAAGGACAAAAAAGCACCATAAAAGTATAACTTTTATACCACTTGTGCACTATAGTCCAGGTTCTTCATACAGTAGGTTTGTAATGACAAGGCATTATTCTCTGATCATCTTCTCGTCTACTGCAGCTCTTAAATTACATATGTGGTGTAGGTTGGACATCAACAACATCATATGTCTTTGTGGAGAAGCTTTGGGTGTGCAATTTTTACTTTATTAGAAAGTGAGGATAGCAAGTATACAGATGCAACATTATTTTTGATTAATTTTCTGATGCATTTTCATCCCAGTTTTTTTTATGATTGTTGTTAGATTTATAAATGTATAAATGCTAGGTAGTTTAAGTAAAGTTAAACTATTCTGTATGTGCATGTAGATGTATTTTGTGTGAACTATGATTGAATTTAAGTCTTGCTAGTTTTCATAAATCATGTCTTTATTTCTGTTATATTACAGGCTTCATAGTGAAAATTAGTTCTTTGTTGGTTTGCAGTTGCTATATTAATAAACATGTTGTCTTATCAAATTTACTTGAGTGGGGATTTGTTTTATAATTAAACATAGTATAGTTAAGTGAAATAAATAATTCAAAAAATTCTAATTAATTTTGTCCTGTGTCATTCGCCATACATGTCATAATGCACCCTGTGGATAGCTAAACATTTCAGATGCCATCTATTGCTGACTGAATAACAGAATTCTTTTTATAGAACTAACCATTTTCATTAGACAAATTAAGTTTAGGTAATCTAGGTATACCTGATCTAAATCTCTATGTTTAACACATACACATGCATTCACACAATGTCTATCATTCTTACTTTAGGGCTCTTATCTTGTGATGCCTGGCTGCTCATGTCAGCCTGGTCTCTACAGGATAGTTGAGTAGTTCATTTAGAGACTATGTGCACTGAGGTGTGGATAACACATCCAAGTAACTTCAAGTAAGTCCATTTCTACTTTATCTCTGTCACAGGAAGGAAAACTTAATAGAGATTTGGGTACAAGATAAACAACTTTATACCTGGCCATAACAGAGAAACATGCTGACACTATTACAGTATGAAGTCAGTCATCAATAGCATCAGGATTACAGTCTCTGATGATGTTAGTGAGGTGAAGACAGATTTACCAAATGATACAGAGAATGGCAATGGAATATGAGCTGAATAAAGTCTCTGTTTAGGCTTGGGGTGTGAGAGGTGGCTCTTAGTGCGCATTTGTCACAATGGGACGTTTATAGCTTGTTGGCAGCATTGCAGGGATATAAATCTTTGTATAACTGCAGTGTATGTTGCCCACACAGCACAGAGGTGCAGTCACGAGTGTTACCACACACCATATGTGGGCTCGGTACAGGTTTGTGTGTGTTCACATACAGCAGTAATGTAGCTTATTTCTGTGTCCTTTGTACAATCAAATTGTTTGCATTTATTTTAGAATTCATTTTTATACTACATTGCTTTTCACTGAGAAAGAAAGAAAAAACACAATGGAATTGTCCTTGTCCTCTTGACTCCTGATCCCTAAAGACTCACATAAACTAGAACATGATGGATTATGGGACCGCTGGATCACAACAGGCACAAAGTTGAAGGTGGGCTTCCTGCTGTGTTCTTACGTTCTATCCAAAAAAGGGCACATTGTTAAGATTAACATTAAGACATTTGTTAACACATTTTTAGGATCAAAAGTTGTAATTATTATCATTAGTTAATGCACTGTTAATTAACATGAACCTGAATATTTTTACTAACATTAACAGTTTAATAAATGCTTTAAAAATGTATATTGCTCATTGTTAGTTTATGTTACTTAATGCCAGAGGTGTAAAGAGTACCTAAAAACCGTACTTGAGTAAAAGTACAGATACCTTACAGTGAAAATTACTCCACTACACGTTACAAGTCACCAATTCCAAAACAACTTGAGTAAAAGCCTTAGAGCAGGGATCCTCAAATCTGGCCCACGAGATCCACTTTCCTGCAGAGTTTTTAGGATCAAAAGTTGTATTTATTATCATTAGTTAATGCACTGTTAATTAACATGAACCTGAATATTTTTACTAACATTAACAGTTTAATAAATGCTTTAAAAATTTATATTGCTCATTGTTAGTTTGTTACTTAATGCCAGAGGTGTAAAGAGTACCTAAAAACCATACTTGAGTAAAAGTACAGATACCTTACAGTGAAAATTACTCCACTACACGTTACAAGTCACCAATTCCAAAACAACTTGAGTAAAAGCCTTAGTTAGGTATCACGTCTTTTGTAGCAGAAATAAACTGCTGCAGAAAAAGCTAGGTCCATGCAAAATGTAATGTGTAACTGCAACACTCATTTCAAATGTAGTTGAGTAAAGAGTACAGATACTCATTCAAAAATGTAGTGAAGTAAAGAGTAAAAGTTGCTAATATCTTTGATACTCAGTACAACTACAAAGCATCCGAAAAGATACTCAAGTACAGTAACTAATTACATTTCCTCCAATACTTTACACCTCTGCTTAATGCATTAACCAGTGTTAATGAAAGCTTATTGTAAAGTGTTACCATTTAGTTTAGCTTGATGTACTAAAACAACTAAAATTAAAACTGAAATCAAATCAAAAAAATCTAAACATATAATAGTATCTCAGTGGTACTAATACAACACTGATATATATATATATATATATACCTTAAAGATCTTTTTCTACTTGATTTAACCTGTATTACTTAACATATTTAGGTAGATTCAGTGATATTAAATAACATTTTGACTTGAATAAAACCAGTTAAGATAGTTATAGGTTACCTTTTTTTAGTTCACTTAGGTCAAGAAATATAAGACAGTAATATCTCACCACTTTTTAGGTAGACTGGAACGTTGGCAAAATTGATTATTGCTCATATTTCAAGTGGCCTAACTTAATAGAAATGCATCAGCTGTTTAGTTTTAAACCACAAAATCTTCAAATATTATGGATATTGACCGTTAATGTCTTGAGTTCTACTGCAAAAGCAAATTAATTGTTATAATGCTTGATACAGAAAACATGTCTGTCATTAACTCGGTAACAGTTTCACCAGCCATTTCGGGTGAGCTTTCAGAAATCGCATTCAATTTAATAAGGACAGACACGTTAAGGTGGGCTTTATAATGTCAAGTCTTTATTGGTCATGTGCCATACAGCTGTAAGATAATGACTAAATAGAAATTACATCAACTACATTCAGCTCCTAAAGTTTTCAGTCATCCAGTACACAGTGGCCCCTACACACTAGATAGCAAACAAAGTCACATTCTTAGCAGAAATAACAGGTTAATGCACACCCTGCCAGATTCAGAAAGCTGCTGGTGGCTTAAGGCATTTTTTTTATAACTGAGAGCATTCATACATAAACAGTAGCATGTTTTAGATGGATTGTTTTGTATTGGTGTAAAAGCAGGTTGCCTTTTTATGGAGGGATGTTGATTGCACATGCATTATAAAAGTTTGGCAGTGCAGGTTTGAAATTCTTCTTCTTCAAACTGCATTGTGTCACTATGCTTTCTGCAATCATTTTCGCTCTCCCAAAACCGGCAGAGCAATCCCAAAATGTTCAGATTTACCAGGATACCAGGCCTAAGGAGCATCTGTGAGAACGTAAAGACAAAAGTTTGGCAGTGCAGGTTTGAAATTCTTCTTCTTCAAACTGCATTGTGTCACTATGCTTTCTGCAATCATTTTTCGCTCTCCCAAAACCGGCAGAGCAATCCCAAAATGTTCAGATTTACCAGGATACCAGGCCTAAGGAGCATCTGTGAGAACGTAAAGACAAAATTCCAGATTTGCCTGACATTCCCTCGCAGCTAAGCATGCCGATGTCACAGTGTTCCTCGGAAAAATTTATTCCGATAGAGAAAGAAACCCATTCACTTGGGTTCCCATCATACAGTTCTTAAAGTCAGTTAAGCCCAACTTTATCAATCTGTTTAAACTGTCTATAGAAAGAGTGCAGCAAGTCAGGCATGACAAAGCCATGACATAGAGGCAAGTGGTATCAAAACCTGGCAGTGTAGCAGAAGTGTTATGAAGATATTTCACTAGCATTACCTTTTAATATACGTTTACCAAAGGGATTCATTTTTGACCCATGGTTAACGGAGGTTCACTGTGACAGTGACTTCTTTGTATGAGAGTACACTAGATTCAAGTATGATGTTTAGGTGTTTGAGATGCATTGTGAAAAGTTGTGCTAGTGACTGCGTTTCCACACTGTAAATGTGCTTCAGGCATCCACAAATATACAAGTAAAATGTTGAAATGTTAATGCATTTTCTAACTTCTAAGTATATACTTTTACTTTTCTTAACAAATTCATAATATTTGTATCAGCCGCCCAAACACAACCAAATCTGGACTCAGAAGCAGCAAGGTCAACTGAACTTAAAGCTGGCTCAAACAAGCCCTTTTTTTTCTATTTCTTATTTCTTACTCACACTTACACTATCTTTCTATTAACCATGTTTTTGCAATATCTTCCCAAGCATTCCATATTCCTTCATTCTGCCAGTTGATATGGATGAGATGCTGTTTGCATACATTTAAGTGCCCTGACTTGATTGGCTTTAACGTATTTGTCAGAAATTGTATTAATCACAAGCGTTTAGCAGCATGTGAAAGGCTTCAGCAGTACTGTGTAACATTTTGCTCTCAGTCTTGCCCATTGGCTGGTGAACTAATGCAGCCTTAAGTACTGAGAGGAATGGCAGGCACACCGCTATGAAAGTATAGGTAAACTTCTGTTGGACCCACATACAGTCACCATGCAAACAGCAGAAACACCTCATGCAGTGAGGACTTGCTATTAGGCTCAAATCCTTGTTGCTTTTAAAGGGCAAGTAGGTAGAATATGTTTAAAAATGGAATCAAGAGCAGTCTTGGAGAGGAATTTGGCTGGGTGGAGTGTTTTCGAAACTAAGCATATCTAGTTTCGGATTTTTATTTATTTATTGTTTGGCAAGAATGCATTATGAGCATGCCGAGAAGTTAACTGGCGATACAATTCTGATGCAATGATACTCCCAGATGCCATTGTTACTAGGGATGGCATGATTCAAAGACAACAATAACTGCTTTGCTAACAGCTTATATTGTAAAACTGAAAATATTATTGCAAGTCAAGTTTTGTGCTGGCTTTGCACTGCAGCACAATGATACCTTTACCAAAACTAAACACACAAACATTTTCTTAATGCAATGTGCTGAGCGAAGCCTGTTTTAGTGCAGTTAAAAGTGGCGATAAGACTCACAGTGAAGCCCTGGAAACAGAGAATATATGCATCGAAGAGTGTGTATTGAGTAGTAAGTGGTTTGCTACAGAAGGGCTGCTGCCTGTGATTGAGTGGGAGGTGAATTAGTGGAGAATAGTCAAAATACGCTAGATTCCTCTCTGAGACCCCCTTTGTGGAGGGGAGTTGCTTGGGAAAAGGGAAAAGAGGGTAGGCAGAGGGAGGAGTGGAAGAAAGAAAGAAGGTTGAGACGTTTAGTTTTTCTGGTTGGTGGGGTTCACGTCTCCAGAGTCGATCTTGTCACTCTTCTTGGAGTCGTCGGACTGGGAGGAGCCTTTGCCGGGTTTACTGCTCTGTTGATGTTTGTCATCATCATCCTTGACCTCCTTCTTTCCGCTAACGCTAGAGCTGCTGTACATACGGGACTGGTAGCTATAGCTGGACACTGAGGCGGGGGTGGGGTAGGTGATCCCGGTGCTGATACGTGTCTCCTCCCCTTCCAACAGTTTCCTGAGATGGATAATAAATGGAAGGGTGAACAAAGAGAAGGTGGCGAGGCAGGGTGTGGTGGAAAAGGTGAAGAGAGATCAGTGCAATGCATTTCTGTATCACATCAGCTAATTCCATTAAAGCAATTCTCATTATTTTCATTTTAGGTCACAGGTATGTTGATAAAGAATGGACAGAATGCACATTTCACTTGCCTTCACCTTCACATATCAATAAAAAACATTGTTTATTACCTGTAAGCTGCAATCTCTATGTCAAGCGCCATCTTGACATTCAGCAGGTCTTGGTACTCCCTAAGGTGACGGGCCATCTCACTCTTAGTGGTCCTCAGCTCATTATCCAACTGCCCAATTGTATCCTGGGTGATGTTACATGATATATTTATGATTTAAAAACTGCTGCATTTAGACTGGTTTATTTGTTTTGAGACTAGAAATGTTTTCATACACTCTTAAAAATAAAGGATATTCATCACAATGCAATAAAACAACCATTCTCTGTTCCCCAAAGTACCTTTAAGTGAACAATTCTTACAAGAACCATTTTTTCTCAGTGTGAATAACTAAAAATCTAGTAATCCTTAAACATCTAAAGAACCCCTTTTCCACTATTAAGAACCTTTTGTGGAATGGAAAGGTTCCATGGAAGGTGCAAGGTTCTTCATGAAACCATTGATGCCAATAAAGAACCTTTATTTTTGAAACCCTGCACATGCATTGCACAAAGAAAGAAAGAAAGAAAGAAAGAAAGAAAGAAAGAAAGACTTTACAGTAGGCAACTTTAACCTAAATGCAATGATGCTTGTGGAAAAAACATAGATTAGATTTAATTGTATGGGCTAAAGCACTATACATTCATTATTTAGTGACACTTTGTCATCATTATTTGATGGTAGCTGATTTATTAAAAGGTTTGGAAAACCTTATGAATAAAATATCCAATATAGGCTGTACATTTAACTGTCTGAAGTCATTTTAGCACCATGGACAGAGAAGCGGTAACATTCACAGACACTTGCTGTGGTCACGCCCATTTCACGGGGCTCTTTTGTCTGCTGTCTGGTTAGCAGAAGCACAAGTTTCAAACACTAGTTAATCTATTTTTAAACAAAACAGATAGCGATTGGTTGTTTTAAGAAAACGCGAATATTCTCAATGTTTGTGATGATTTTAAAGAAGTGAAACTCTTTTCCGATATCCATACTTTGTAATTCAGTAGAACCCGTGTGTAAGATTAAAATTGAGGAAACCAACCTGGTAGCCCATGACCTCAGCGTTGTGCCTGTCTTCCATCTCATGAATCTGCCTTTCCAGCGATTCGTTGGTGCCCTTTAGGCTCTCGATCTCGATGGTCTTGGACTGCAGCTGCCTCCTGAACTCGTTGAGCTCTTCCCTGCTAGCGCGAATGACCTCGTTGCTCTTGTTGGCCTTTTCGCTGAGATCGGCGAACTTGGACTTGTACCACTCTTCAGCGGACTGCAGGTTCTTACTCGCCATGACTTCGTACTGGCCGCGAATCTCCTTGAGGGCGGAGGTGAGGTCGGGTTTGGCCACTTCCATCTCCACGGAAACCTGGGTAGCCTGGATCATGTTCATGAGCTCAGTCACCTCCTCCTCGTGCACCTTTCTCATAAAGTTGATCTCGTCCAGAAGGGCTTCGACCTTCTTCTCCAGGTCTAGGCGCACCATGGTGGCGTTGTCCACGTCCTTCTTGAAAGCTCTAAGCGTTTGCTCAGCCTCCTCGCGCATTCTCATCTCCTCCTCGAACTTCTCCTGGAGTTTCTGGAAGTCCTCCTCAATGTTGTCGCGCTCGAACATCATCTGGTTCTTCTCCGCGTTAAGTTCCTCGAGCTGGGAGCGCAGTTCTCGGATCTCTTGCTGGTAAAGTTCGGCCAGACGGGACGGTTCTGTCTGGCGCTGGCGCAGGGTCACGAGTTCGGCTTCCAGCACTTTGTTGTGCTGCTCCAAATTGCGAACTTTCTCGATGAACATCGCGAAACGGTCATTGAGCCCTTGCATCTGCTCCTTCTCGTTGGTGCGGATGATCTTGAACTCATTATTAAGCGCTGTGCTCTGGGTGAAGTCGAAGCTTTCCAGACTCAAGGATGAAGATGGGAAGGCAGATCGGGTGCTGCGCTTGTATGAGCTTGGGATGTTGGAGCGGCTCGTGGGCTGGGACTTAAAGCCGCTCCGGGAGCTGCTCAGCCGGGATGGAGAGGCTGAGTAGCGGGTGGAGTCCCCGAAGATCTTCCGGTAGGAAGAGGCGGAGTAGATGTCGGATCCGTAGCTCATCTTGGCGTTTTGAAGACAAGGAGCAGAACCCAGGCGGCGTCTCCTTTTATAGCAGGACTGTCCCAATCAATAATTTACCCGTGCTGCTCCTCGCATTCAACCTTCCTTACTGCAGATGTTTCAGATGGACAGACCCTGAAAAAAATACGACCAATAAGCTGATCTATAGGTTATTTTAACTTTTAAAGGCGCAAAGAGTGCTTTTTGCCTGTGGAAGGTGTTGTGTTCTGTATTTCACTGGAGACTCAGCGAGCGGATGGAACTGTCCTTCTTGGCGCAGTGCTGATGTCAGCAAAATATCATATCGTTTATTTACTCACTCATACACGATCACGTCACATCTGTGAAAAATACCTACTGCTTGTATTATTATTATATTATTATTATTGTATTATTTATTATTACTTACTTGTATTATTATTATTATTATTATCATCCTATTATTTAGAATAAAAAGAAAAAAATAACGTAAAAACAGGCGGCTGTGATGGTGTTAAAATAAAGTGATGGTGTTACAAGCATTACGTATGGCAGTTATATTTCAAAATTCTGCACATGTAGTAATTAAGTTATGCTATACAGTTAAGTTATGTAAAATGTGCTATTAAGATCTGTTCATAAAATCTGATTGCGTGAAATGCCAAATAATTGTAGTGACGAGTTCATTGAGTTCAACTGCGATGGGTGGTGCAGGGAATTCGGGGAATGCTCCTTTTTCTGTAAATGTATAAAGTAATGTAGCTAATGATAATTTTTTTATTTTATTTATTTATTTATTTTTTTTGACTGGCCAATAGGTTCATATAAATATTTCTCTGTAAATCTGTAGGTAGCCTAATTCACAGTTTATATTACTGTGGAATTATTCTTTTTTTTTTAGCCTATTTACTACCAAATTATTAACATGTGTACAGTGTAGATTATAGTAATAATAGCTTACTTTTGTCCGTTTTGAGTTATAAAAATATTAATGCAAAAGGAACTTAGCGTCTACACTAACTTGCCTTAGGCTAGATTCTCACATATCAAACAAAAATCACAAACAGCCTATCGTAGATTTATTTTTCTATATCCGTGAATGTAATACAGCCATAATAATGCGTTAAATTTGACACGACTGTAAACGCCCTGTAAGATAGGGCTACACAGTACACACTAAATATATGTCTATGACAAGGAGACAGTACAGTGCTGCCATCTGTTGGGCGCTTCGAGATCTTAACAGATTGCAGGCAAACAAACAAAGCAAGGTTTAGCCCAATTTCCATGTCCTGTGTGGCCTTCAGATTCAACTGTAACTGACGATTGAGATACCTTTTCCTTTCTTTCTTTCTTTCTTTCTTTCTTATTGATTTTTATTTTATTTTATTGTTTGTTTTTTGAGACAGGAAACTTTGGTTGACAGGCTTTTTTGTTTAAATGCACCACGTAAACTAATAAACTAATAAATGAGAAACAATACGAGAACAAAAGTTCAGAACTGTCACTGTGGGAGTACCTTTTCAAAAGGTATATGAATACTTACAAATATGAATAAGTATGAATACTTTCAAAAGTATGAATACAAAAGTATGAATACTTTCAAAAGTATGAATATGTACTTTTAATATGTACCACTTAGGGGTAAATAACGGTACAAAGATGTACCTTTTTTCGTTTTTGTACCTATAGTACAGGGGTGGCGAACGTCGGTCCTGGAGAGTCGCAGCCCTGCAGAGTTTTGCTTCAACCCTAATCAAACACACCTGAACAAGCTAATCAAGGTCTGAAGGGTTATTAGGAAGCTACAGGCAGGTGAGTTTTAATTAGGGTTGGAGCTGTACTCTGCAGGGCTGCGGCTCTCCAGGACCGGAGTTCGCCACCGCTGCTATAATATACCACCCCAATGACAGCTTTGCACCATGAGATACATTTTTAGTTTATTTAATACACTCTAAAACATCCAAATTAACTGGTTTTACTAAAATAATAAATATATTATTTAATTTGATTAAATCAATCAATTCACATTCATCAAATCAGATAAACATTATGCCTAAACCTTTTTTCTCTCTTCTTTAAAAAAGAGATATATAGTAGCTATATTAATTAGATGTATAGAACTTACTTTATTGATCCCTGAAGAGACATTTTTGTGTAACAACTTAGTAAATGGAGACAGCACAATATACAGTTTAATGACATACAATACTCAAGAGCATTTATAATACACACATAACAGGTGTTGTGTGAGGATAATATAAATATCTAAATATGTGGTGAACATATAATGCACAGGGCAAATGGTGAACTGGTATTCTGTAAATGTGGTATTATCTGAGGAGCAGACATTGTGGCAGCAGGCAGAAAAGACAACAAGACCCACATCTTGGAACATCTTGGTGGTACTGTATAAACGGATAGCATTTGGATTGCTTTACATTTTGAAATCATATTCAAAAACCACTATGAAACATTAAATTGATAACTCAACCATAATGTTAGATATTATTTCATTAGTCAGCATTAGTTACCTATTTTAGTTAACACGAACTAACAATCAACAATGCTTCAACAGCATTTGTTAATTTTAATTAATATACATTTTTACTACAGCATTTACTTTTTTCCACTTTGGTGATATTTTCATATAAAATATGTACATTTTCAAAACTATTGGTGCAAATATCTAAACTGATCACACTTGTAACACTGCTAGTCAATCTTTCAAAACTCAAGTTATACAGAATTTCAGTCCACACAACCATAGTTTCAAAACACAGAATTATTGCAATATGTTATTAGAACATTTGGTTTAGTCACCAAAACACAATAGTAGGCCTATAATCTTCTTTCAATTTAGCACTTTTAACAATCAGTCAATCCACTAGCAAACAATGTGTGATACGTTTCAAATCACCCGTGTTAGTGAATTAAAGATGTTTCAGTAATACAGATTACAGTTATGTTACAAAATACACTCACATTACCTAACTTACGTAACTGACATAAAATCTATAATGTCTGTATAATAGTATCTATTGTGTTATCAAAAGATGTAATGAAGGTACAGTATGACATGGAACACTAGAACAGAGTTTGCTACCAATACAGTAGATGTCCTCAGTGTGCAATATGACTGAATCTACTGACTTCTCAGATGAAGGGTGAGTTACGGTAATTTGACGGTCCTAACCCAGGCATCTCTTATCAATCTAGATTCACAGTCATTGATTGTTTCTTCTCCTTTACTCTGTCTGGTTCAATGTTCACAAACTGCAAATGCATTCTCTCTCTCTCTCTCTCTCTAACTCTCTTTCCATCACACACACACACACACACACACACACACACACACATGCTTTGAACATTGTGGTTTTCATCTGAGAAAAATTGATTAAGCTGTTAACGAGAATTCCTTATATTTGGTTATCCGTTTAAACTCCAAACAAGTTCCATAGAATCTATCTATATAGAATCTAGAAATCTATAGCTGTACCAATGATTCATTGACTAACAATTAAGATCAGATGGGTTAAATGATGTGATAGGTTAAATAAAACAAAGAGAAGAGATGCGAATGGAAAGTTTGATAGTAATAGCATTATGAAAGGCAATTACTGTGAATGAAAGTTTTATGTAGATAAAACATCACGTGTAGTGAAAATTAAATGAAAATGATTTTGTGTTTTGCACTAATATAATCAAATATATGCTGAAATGTTTGAAAAGAGTGCATTTTTGATGGTCTTAAATTAGTACTAAGAGTTTTGAAAATGTACCACTTGCTTGTGAAAACTGTAGGTCTATGAAAAGCTGTATTTTTATTACACACAAAATCTTTACTTGTCACACAATTTCTGAAACCTGACACTCAATCAGCAGAAGCACACACCAAATCTGCAAAACCATGCTAATTCTCAGCCTTTGACTCAGTTTTCAATTTCATAAAACAATTTTTGCAAATCACAACACACAATTCTCTATGTAACACAAAACTAAAAGGAATTGATATTATTAAGGTGTTTGCAAATGTTTGCTTTTGAGATGTGTTTGTATGATATTTTGAATGCAGTGCTTCATTTTGCAAGAGATGTGAGGCATTTTGCATTTTGTGTGTGCAGTTCTTGGATTTGTGTGTAAAGTTTTGAAAAAAAAAGAGGCAAAGTTTTGAAAATGTGTGTAAGCAAAAAACTGTAACTAACTTGAACAAAGATTAACAAATATTGTATATATTGATCATTATCAGTTCATTTTAGCTAATTCATAAACCAGTGTTAACAAATGAGACTAAAATTTGTTAACAAGTGTTACCTAAATTTATATAGTTCTAAAATTTGTCATGAAATAATGAACAATAATTTTTACACAATTTATTAATCTTGGTTAATGTTAATTTGTAAATAATTCATTGGGTCTTAACAGTTCAACATACAATGTTTAATGTCATACAGCAGGGCTTTTCAATCTTTTAGATGTCATGGACCCCAAATATTAAAGATTATCCTGGTGCATGGGACCCCATCCTAAAATTTAAAAGGCGGCAATACAGATCTAAAGACCCTTTTTATAATGTGAAAAATTATCAAAATGTATCATTAAAATACATTATAATAAATATTACAAGCTATATTTTGTTTCTATAATGAAAATATTTAGTTTCTATTATGTTTATTTCTAATAATGTTGTGCTGTTAGATGTATTATTTAATTAAAATAATTTTGTTAATTTATTTTAATAATATTTTATTTATTTTCAAATGTATTATTATTATTATTATATTTTTTATTATATTTTTATTATATTTATATTTTTATTTTTGTACACATTTTTTCTCTAAACTTTTCCCCGGACCCCAATTTGAAAACTCCTTATGTGTTCAATAGGCTACATTGATCAAAATGCTGGAACAGTTTTGTTAGTTCATTTTAGCTGTTGCATTAACTAATGTTAACAAATACTGTAATACCAGTTATGGCAAAGTGTTACTGTGAACAATCTGGCTAAAAAAATCCTGTAAACAATGAGCTGTCAGTAGACCAACCATCTTCAAGAGGCTGAGGCGGTCCCGCCCATAGACTGTAGGCCCCGCCTTCACATTTCTCCGTCCCTGATGTGATGACAGGTTTTGCTCCACCTCCGCTGGATGTAGCCAGCAAGCACCGCCTCGTACTGCCCCTCAGCAACTGCTTACGGCACGGTTATGAAAACTAAAGACGAGCTTTTGATGCAGATTAACAGTAAGAATTGCTGCTTCCTGCTGTGCATTCTGTCTTATTGATATTTCCCGAAGTGTTTACAGTGCTGCCTGTGCACTTGAGCTTTTGTGTACTGACGGAAGGAAGGTAAGTGAGCGAATATGGTTGAACTTACAGTTGTTGTTGTTAGTGTCAGTGGTTTGTTTGTTTGCTTGTCTCTTTGCCTGTGTTCAGCTTGAATAGATCGGTGATGTTTGATGTTCTGCGCGAAGCTCACAATGATGTTTATCAAGGCGCTTTGTGTTCAGCCAGGCTCTGACGAGCTCCCGTGAAAATATATGTATTTACACTATCGTATTTAAACAGGATACCAGGCGCGATACTGAACACCGTGGATGCTTAATGTTAATACATCCTTTACATATCAAAACTGTCTAAATATGCTGGATTGTCAAACTCTGTTTCAGCCATTTTCGTGGGAAATTCTGTAGCTGCTTACCAGCCAGCTCTTCAACCGTCGTCGGGGGCTTTGTCCTTGTTTTTCAGCAGCTGAATGTAACTTTTTGTGGTTATGACCTGGAAAAGGCATCTAAATAGTGCAAGTCAACAAATTAGTTTATAGGAGTATGTTTTAGCCTCCAGTGTTTAGTGTTTAGTCTCTACTGCAGCTGTCATAAGTTATTGCGAGGAGGCAATGGCTTGTAAAATGTTGAAGCTAATGTGGTTCAAACCATGTTTGAATATTTGTTGATATCTAATTTACACTATTTGTTAAGTATATAGTGTTAAATATTGCTAAATATAGAGATACATGCTGAAAACTTACCAAAACCCATCTCCCATGACAGCTGAACATCCTGCCAATATAAACAACTTACAAAGAAAAAGAAAAGTTTTTTTTTTCTTTTTGTGTGTGTCCATTTGGTGTTCATGGACCAAATGCACTCAAAAGAAAGAAAAACCTTTCTCTTTCTGGTTTTCCAAAAAAATTTGATGCAAATCAGTCTGACAGTGAGCCATTATAACTGCCTCCTTGGGGTATTTTTGTGTATTAAATGAAAGAGTTTTTACGTTTTTTTTTTTTTTTTTTGGGTGGAAGGGGGTATGTTTATTTCTGTTGTTTGTCCTAGGGGGCATGTCTGAATATTTGAAAAAGAGTGAGAGTGTTTTTTTTCATTTTTATGTTACAGAAGAGAATGATGTCAGCACCGCCTGAAGTTCTTTTCAAACTCTACTGTCTCACATCCCCTTTTCCCTCAGCATACCGATCATAAAATGATCGGTATGGTGGGCTGGTGGCTGGTGGGAAAATCTCCTTCCTTTGCCCTTAAGGTAAGGAGGCATGTTTATTTCTGTTGTTTGTCCTAGGGGGCATGTCTGAATATTTGAAAAAGAGTGAGAGTGTTTTTTTTCATTTTTATGTTACAGAAGAGAATGATGTCAGCACCGCCTGAAGTTCTTTTCAAACTCTACTGTCTCACATCCCCTTTTCCCTCAGCATACCGATCATAAAATGATCGGTATGGTGGGCTGGTGGCTGGTGGGAAAATCTCCTTCCTTTGCCCTTAAGGTCTCCAGCTTGTTTGTGCAAGTCAGCCTTTGTGAAGGCCACTGGCCCCAGTATGCTGACTCAAGCTTCTATGCTGCATGTCATTCATCTGGCTTCAATGGTTTGGATGGTGCTTACATATTTTGTAAGGTGTAATTGAACTTCTTTCAAGAGAAAGAGAGGTTGTCTGTTTGCTGCTTGCTTTCATTTTGTTCACATACTTGAACCATTTCCATACCAAAAACCAAGTATTTCAAACACAGAGGTTGTTTGTGTTGGCAAGCTCATTTGGAACACGTAGTATCTTTACCAGGAGTTGTGAAAATGTAATAGAGGACTTAATGTTTGTCAAACATTTCAGTCAGCAGTACGAAATTGGTTTCACAATGACTGAGTGGGCTTTTCTTGTATGTGAAACAATCAGACAAAGTGTTTAAAGACTAGCTGTTTAAATTACAGATAATCAAATCAAGTCGTTATGTTTGTCTTTCTTGATTCTGATGCAATTAGATTAGAAGTTGGCACATAAACAGGCAGCAGTTGTGTATTGGCTTGTTTAGTAGGTGATAAAATCTACAGAAAATGACTAATCCAATCTAGGAAATCTGAGAGCATTCATACTTTAATGGTGCCACTTAAAAAAAAAAAACATTAATCAAGGTTTTTCTGTTTCTTTCTCTTTTCTCAAAGTATTTTAAGAGATTTTTAAATCTTTTTACAGATTCACAACAGAGAGATTTAATGATGACAACATCATGGAGCGATCGACTTCAGGACTATGCAGATCTCCCAGCAAACATGGATGGCCTGGCGATGAAGAAATACAGGAGAGAGGCCTATCATAGGTACAGAATAAACTGACTGTATAACCACTGTGTTTGGGTGGCTTGGAAAAACAGATTTGTCAGTTAGAATTCAGAGACATCAGCTCCTCAAAAGGAAAATAGCATTTTCCTTTCTATTTAGATAAAGTGTCATTTGTTTGCAATGCGCTCATTTTAGAAGAGCCAGTTGAGTCTGAGTTTATAATAGTTTTCACTGAGCATTACATACTCCGTGGTTTTACATCTTACGAGTCATGTTAAAAATTTAAGCAACTATGTCAAGAAAATATCCTATTATTTAGACAGCAGCTCCTCTGGTAAATTGTACATTTTAAATTAAAATAAAGAATGGAGTTACCTAATTATAGGCAAAACCCTGCAGCGATGTTTCAAACTACATAGAGAAAACGGGCACATGGAACACGTAAGACTAGGGAATATAGAGGAGCTTGTGCAACCCCACAAGTATGGAATTTGCCATGCAGTGGCATTATGCAATCTTCAGTAGATAAGAGGTGTGCCATTCGGTTCCTCTTAAAAATCTGCCCCTTTAGCACACACCGTCACTTGTGGCATTAATCCAACCAAAGGTTACGTCTGAAATAGAGAGTAGTTTACTCTTCCTACTGTGCGTGAACTTTGACTTTACATTTCTCCGTGCTGAAGCCAAAAGTTCACTGCCTTGTTCCATTAGCCAGATAAGGGGGTTTAGATAAGGAAAAGTAAATGTGAGCGTCATGGCAGGGATTCCACTCTCTGTACAGTCTATCTGAGGTCCAAAGGCAGTGGTGTTATCTGGCGTGTGAGATGTGCAGTGAAAAATTTGCTAACTCTGTGGAACGTAGTGGTGAAGCTGTAAAACACAGAAAAAAAGAATATGGTCCTGATGACACCAAATCTGTGACCCGAAAAAAATCATGTTTCTTTTAAGTAAGTCTGTTTTTGTGGCGTCCATCGTAGTAACACCCCCACCCAGGCTGTTTATGTATGTTGGTAAAAAGCAAGACTGAAAACTACCACTCTGATGATCAAGAACTGAGGTGGAATTCATCCAACTTGTCAATATCTTCGATATCTTTTATCAGGATGTCCTAATGTATATTAATGACACAAAATCTGTGACCCTTATTGCTGTAGAGAAAAAATCAAAGTCATTTTTTATGTGCCAGTCATCTTGGTATACAAGGCTACAAGGGACTGAAAACTTCCAATCTGTTTATCAAGATGGCATTTCAACTAGTGATATACAATTTCCGCAACCAAAAATAATCAGCCAAAAAAAAAAAAAGACAATATTTGTCCAAAATAGTTTTGGAGGGTGATCATTGACTAAAAGGATGCTAAAACAGCAATATGTTACGTTTATTTCGCAGAAATATCAAGAGACAGCTCGTTGTTGAACTTCATTTAGTTTATCACCTGAAAACATGACATCCAATACAGCATACCAAGTTCAATTACCCAATTAAAGGCAGAGTAAGTGATTTCTGGTAGCCAATGTTGATATTTGAAATCACCAAAACAAACACGCCCCTACCCCAAAAGGGTCTTGCCCCTATTTTGATAGCTCCGCCCCACATATACGTACGCAACCCAGGCAACGATTAGTTCTGTGAAACAAAGCAAAACCAATGTTACACCATGTCTACGCGATTCGGCCCGAATCAGTTTTCTCAAGTGTTTTGGAAAAATCACATACCCTGCCTTTAACCAAATTTGGTTTTGTTTGTTGACTTAGTTTCGATTTCTTTGTTTTGGTTAAAAATTCATTTTGGTAAGTCCCTATTTTCAACACAACAAATATTACTTAATCATATATACATGCGTTTTTCTCAGTAAACAAACTCAAACTCATGCGTGTTTCTAAGTAAACAGAGGCAATCGGCTCTTTTAGCTGAAAGGCGGGACTTCCCATTTCTACAGTCACCATATTTCTTCCATTCAGTTTTATATGAGAGGTTTGTCTCCTCCCCTTTATAGTGTATCTGGTACAGTATAAGTAGCCTATTACAGAATAGGGCAACAATGAGGATCCATTGGAGATACAAGAGTCATCTGTTTACCAGCTGTCTCTAACTAGTGATGCACACTCTGTTGTCTGAGCCGCTGCACCCGCCTGGTTCTTCCTGCTGTTGTTGATTGTTCTAGATGTCTTTGAAGGGAAGCAAACCACTCCTAACTCAACAACTGGCACAACAACAGAGAATGCTATAGAACTGGCACAATCATTTTTGCAACAAGTCAGAAATTCAATGACAAGAAAGCAGAGAGAGGGGGCTATTGTTTGCTGTGGGGGTAACAGGGTGAACAGAGAAATGGGCTTGACAGACCAGCTAGAGCAGTGACATCCACTCAGAATGCAGTGCGCAGGTCCTACCTGGAAAAGTCAATCATGGGATGTAGTCCAGTGTTATGCCACCACAAGGTAGGGTTGATCAAAGTAACTTTGTTTTGGTAGTAATGATTTTCTTTTTAAAGTTTTGTAAATTTTTATAGGGTTACAAAAGCGTTTAATACTGGTCTGACGTCTCTGATAATCATTTCCACTTTTTCTCTTTGTTTTATGTAATAAAAATATACTACTTTACATACTGTATATTCAGCTGCTGTTTAAAAGTTTAAAAATGCTATTTTATGTTGTTGAAATTGTTTCTGGCTGCAATATAAACTTTGAATCTCTTGTAAAACTATGGATACAATAGAAGTGCAAATATCTGTTAGTTATTGTTTGTGGTTTATCTGTGTCAGTATCAGATTATATGCATACACAGAGAGTGATTCAGAATTTCCTTTGTGTTCATATCCTGGCATTAAATATCATGGCTTATGGACTAAAGCATAGAGCTGTCAGTGTTCAAAATAAAGATCAGATGACTCTTAGCGCACTCTAAAAAATGCTGGGTTAAATACAACCCAGTGCTGGGTTAAATAGGGACAAACCCAGCAATCGGGCTGTTTTGACCCAGCGGTTGGGTTAAATGTTTAACCCAACCTTCTGGGTAGTAACCCAACCGCTGGGTCAAAACAACCCAATTGCTGGGTTTGTCCCTATTTAACCCAGC